CCCCAAAACCCCAAAACCCCAAAACCCCAAAACCCCAAAACCCCAAATCGAAAATTCATAATTGAATGAGGACTTTCTAATATAGCCAATATCAGTAATCCGTACTGAAATGGAGAAGAATTCTGGAGGATATCCCTCGAAGGTTAGACTCTTGTACTTCCAAAAGGTCCACTTTCTTGAAAATATTCAAGAGCTAATGTTCATACTATCTCAGCTGATAAATGGAGGCATCAGTTTCCTCTAGAGTTATCGTTTATAATATACGTTATTAAAATAGTTTTCGAAAGCTTTTTATGTTGTTGATATTTCGTGAATGGAAGTTTAACTAGCCCAAACTTGTCTGAAAGAATCTTGGTAAATTTTAGAAGTTATTATATTCATAAATTTCTTGGGACAAGTAAAGTCGGAAGCGAAGTCATACTGGATCTCCGAAACTACCAGAAGGGCTCAGGACTCTTTCGAACCTGATTAGAATGTAATTGATAAACCGTGATATAATGATAAAGAAGAAAGAAGATCTTTTGCAAAGGGCTTAAACCATCTTGAAAATATTGACAAGGTTATTTTTATTTAGAATTAATTCTTAGTGACAAGTTAATTACTAAAGAACCCTCTTTAGGAGTACTTTGGCCGTTCTTCCTACTCTAATGTTAGGAGTTCAGGTCTGAGGGGTAGGAGAGAAGGCTCTCAAGGTACGGTTTGCACTCTTGAAGCTGAAGACATCTTCTTTCATCTTCTTGTGTGCGGGAGACTTAATCATTTCCACTTTTTCATCCATGCCTGCTAACTGCAGTCTCTGTAAGGCCAAGTTTCTAATCTTCGGCTCTTCAGACAGTACGCCATTACGCATGTTTTGTCTATTAAGTCTTCTGAACATCAGAGGTTTCCTTTGAGGAGGTTGATTATTTTGTTCCATCCTTTCCCGGGCTGGTGAGAACAATCTTTGACTATAAATAATAAGATCCGTTTTATATGTGAAACTTACATTTTATTTAAGTTCAGCTTTCTCTTTTCCAATTTACTGTGAGTACTATCAATAGTCTATAAGTGAAATCTTAGCTTGATCGAGGTAGGGATCTAAGCTATAAATCCAAATAAATGTTTCTAAATTTTCAGGACTCTCCAAATTTTACAGCCAATTAGAGAGTAGATGACTTGAGCTTCCCAGGGTTTGAGAAGCTACCCAAGTTGAACATATGACAAGAATCACAGTAGATAATAAAAGTGCCTGAAATCTACTAAAGAATCTAAACTTACGCCTTCATTGCTTTGGTTCAATGATATCTTACGAATATTGTTGCACTTCTTCAGCATGGGAAACTCCCTGGTTGGGGAGTTTAGGCTAAGTTTGTATTTCCTGTTAACTTTCAGCAGTTTCTTTCCCAAATCTATGCTGTGTTTTAAACTTCCTGTAAGCGAATCCATTTGTAAAAATTTTCTTGATAATTAATTTATAGCTATTATTCCTTTATCTATTGCTGGCAGCAGACTGGGGTTTTGGGGTTTTGGGGTTTTGGGGTTTTGGGG